AACCAAATACGGCAGTCTCATCGATTTTTTTTTTCAAAACCGCCTACTGCTGTTAATAATAATAATAATCCCAGTTACAAGGGGTTTCATGCACCAGTACAAGAATACAGTTTGTTTCCAGAAACACTGAGCAAGAAAAGAACAAATAATATTCACCTTTCAATAAAGCTGCTTCAGTAAATTCCAAACCACCTACTTCAAAGATTTCTCATTTATTCAACATTATTCGGACACAACTAATACTTATTTTTCCATGTTTCAGGTATGTAAAAATGGAGTGGAAGAAGTTTATTGGTAAGTTACCATACACAACTTGAAGCAAAACTAAAAAAAAAAGCATATGGGTAATTAATTTGAATTTTGTTTATTTGAGACGCAGCCAAATTACATACGAAACGGCACACGTAATAGTTAGGTACCTATATCTAGTAGATGGAGCTGCTAGTCTTAGCACCTACTTAAATGCTTGCGCAAAACAGTTTAGCTTATGCACCTGCTGCTAAATACCTTACTATCAAATTAAATTTAATATGAGCTATTTGGCATTTTATGATCTTTAACATAAATACTTTCCCATAATAATTATCAGTAGGTAGGTAATCCAAGCGATGAGAGTGAAAGTTAAGAACCTATATTCAGCTATCTGTGTTCTGAAATGATGATCATACAAATTTCCTGGGATCAATTCATTTTTTTTAGTTACCTTTTACCTTCTTTGATAAAAGATTTAACCTTGTCCATGAAGAAAGCCTTTAAAAAAACTAAGTACATTTTACCTGATGACGAAAACATTTCAATAAGATTATAAAGAAAAAAACTCCTAAGGTGAAGATTCGTTTTGTTCGCGGGCAGGTCGTTTACGGTCGCCTTTAAAAGGCTGCTCCAGCTGGCGACCTGTCAAGCTGTTAGATTAGGGTCATAGCAGACACGGTCGAGCGGGCCCCCCAGGGGTGGAGCGGGGGGTTACAAAAGGGGCCCATATGCTGTCACTCGCAGACAAGGAATTTTAGGCATGGATCACATTTGGCTCGGCCTTATTCATTATGGCTGCTTTACGAAGAGGGTCGTGGCTTACTCATTTCGCCTTCTTTCTTTTTTTCTTTTCTGACGAGAAAGCCTTGATGATGATGGTGTCATACGTTTGTTTTTGTAATTTTTATTTCAAGGTGTTGAGAGGTTATGAATTTGATTTTGGGAAATATTACCCAATCACATAGCCTGCCTTGACTATTGTCAAAAGTCAAAAGATAACTATTTCTCAAGTATTATTGCAAATTTTTGTATACCTATTACTCAAATCAACAGTCATGGCTGCAATCTACTATTAGCAAATTTCTCCATGCATGGTATGAGGATCAAAATAAAAACAACAAATTTTGAGCACCTTGGATTCATATCAGGTCTCAAAACAATTAGAAGTTTCGGTAGTCAAATCAATCATTTGAATTTTTATGGACTAATTATATTAGAAACCGCAATGTTATTGATTGCCGTTTTATTTATTGCGTTTTGCTCATTTAAATATTCATATTTTCTCTAGAAGAAAAATTAGCATAAAATCCATTAGGACATATCTTTGTCTGTGACAAAACTGTCAGCTAACATTTTACCGCGTTTTAATCTTACTAATGAAAATTCTGGCAGCGCCCTCTTACACATAGCTGTCCAACTAACTCTCACTATTGGTCTCGCAAAGGGATGCTGTAGAGATACTCTGAAAAATCAATGCCGAAGCTTTAGTTCTCGAATCTCTCGCTAGAGGTTCGCTAGCCCTCTGTTGACGCACCTCTCAAACTATACGCGCCAGTTTTGGATCAATATTCTCTAAGGGATGAGGGTTGATAGCTATGGATTTTTTCACTGCAAAGCTTTTTCACTAGGGGGCTTCGAGATCGATAACAACTTTGGTTGTTTTGTAAGTCAAAAGAGGGCAGATTATTCTTGAAAAAGTCACAACAATTCTAATAAATATTGTTGCCCGAAGGCTCAACCCAGTTCCCATTCTGTCGTAGGCAAACAGTAACTCAGATAAATATGTTCAATGAAGCGGGTAACTCGTTACAAGTACAGCTAATCTAAAATATATTATACGTACCGTGAACATTGTCATTTTCCTATTAAACTGTTAGGCCAGGTGTACTTTGCAATTTGCCACTATGTTGGTTTTGCGAAATTTATTAGCATAAGGTATTTCGCTGGTTCTATATATTGTGTAAGAAAAAGGCATATTTTATTAAGTGGGTAGCCGTTTTTGGTTATGTAATTTGATCATGTATATACATGAAGGAATTTACAACAAAACTAATAATTTAGGCGTTGAATATGACCCCCGTTTTTCTTGACATCGATATTCTCTTTGAAGCCTGTTTAAACTTGCTGTTATAATGTCATTTTCCTGATTATTTCATTAACAATTTTTTTCCATGACCCTAATAGTTTCGCTTATTTGTTGGTATATGCCACATTCTTTAGATGACCCCAAAGAAACGTATCCAAAAGTGAGAGTTCTGGGCTATTTGGAAGCCAAAAAATGATGCCATTACGTCCAATCCATTCTGGTTTAAAAATTGGTCCATGCCAAGCACACTCAGAAAAATTGATAAAACATCCCAAATTGCTTAACACTATTTTATTTCTGGAATTACAAGTCCAAATGAGCTGCAATTTTCAGGGATTATAGTCCTGTACTGGAGTCAGAATCGCTGAAAATTTCAGCTTTCCATCTATAATAAAAAAAAAGTTATGACCTTTCAAAGTTTTCCAAAATCTAAATCATAAGGTAGCTACCTCAATACTAAAACGATGAAATTTCAAAAAAACATTTGTTAAAATTTTGTTCCCTAATGGTCCTTTGGGACCCCCCAAACTCCATACACTGAATTATTCTGAGATTTGGAGCCGGATTCTATGAAAAAAGGCACTCAGAAAAATTGAAAAATTGCTAAATCGCCCCAATTGCTCAACATGATTTTATTTCTGGAACCATAAGTCCAAATGAGCTGAAATTTTCAGGGATTGTAGTCCTCTCCTGGAGTAAGAATCGCTAAAAATTTCAGCTTTCCATCTATAATAGAAAAAAAGTAATGACATTTCAAAGTTTTCCAAAATCTAAATCATAAGGTAGCTCAGTACTAAAACGATGAAATTTCAAAAAAATGTTTGTAAAAATTTTGTGTCCTAATGGTCCTTTGGGACCCCCCAAACTTCATACACTGAATTATTCTGAGATTTGGAGCCAGATTCTATGAAAAAAGGCACTCAGAATAATTGAAGAATTGATAAATCACCCCAATTGCTTGACATGATTTTATTTCTGGAACCATAAGTCCAAATGAGCTGAAATTTTCAGGGATTGTAGTCCTCTCCTGGAGTAAGAATCGCTGAAAATTTCAGCTTTCCATCTATAATAAAAAAAAAGTTATAACCTTTCAAAGTTTTCCAAAATCTAAATCATAAGGTAGCTACCTCAATACTAAAACGATGAAATTTCAAAAAAACATTTGTTAAAATTTTGTTCCCTAATGGTTCTTTGGGACCCCCCAAACTCCATATACTGAATTATTCTGAGATTTAGAGCCAGATTCTATGAAAAAAGGCACTCAGAATAATTGAAGAATTGATAAATCACCCCAATTGCTTAACATGATTTTATTTCTGGAACCATAAGTCCAAATGAGCTGAAATTTTCAGGGATTGTAGTCCTCTCCTGGAGTAAGAATCGCTGAAAATTTCAGCTTTCCATCTATAATAAAAAAAAAGTTATGACCTTTCAAAGTTTTCCAAAATCTAAATCATAAGGTAGCTACCTCAATACTAAAACGATGAAATTTCAAAAAAACATTTGTTAAAATTTTGTTCCCTAATGGTCCTTTGGGACCCCCCAAACTCCATACACTGAATTATTCTGAGATTTGGAGCCGGATTCTATGAAAAAAGGCACTCAGAAAAATTGAAAAATTGCTAAATCGCCCCAATTGCTCAACATGATTTTATTTCTGGAACCATAAGTCCAAATGAGCTGAAATTTTCAGGGATTGTAGTCCTCTCCTGGAGTAAGAATCGCTAAAAATTTCAGCTTTCCATCTACAATAGAAAAAAAGTAATGACATTTCAAAGTTTTCCAAAATCTAAAGCATAAGGTAGCTCAATACTAAAACGATGAAATTTCAAAAAAACATTTGTTAAAATTTTGTTCCCTAATGGTCCTTTGGGACCCCCCAAACTCCATACACTGAATTATTCTGAGATTTAGAGCCAGATTCTATGAAAAAAGGCACTCAGAATAATTGAAGAATTGATAAATCACCCCAATTGCTTAACATGATTTTATTTCTGGAACCATAAGTCCAAATGAGCTGAAATTTTCAGGGATTGTAGTCCTCTCCTGGAGTAAGAATCGCTGAAAATTTCAGCTTTCCATCTATAATAAAAAAAAAGTTATGACCTTTCAAAATTTTCCAAAATCTAAAACATAAGGTAGCTACCTCAGTACTAAAACGATGAAATTTCAAAAAAAATTGTTGAAATTTTGTGTCCTTATGGTCCTTTGGGACCCCCCAAACTCCATAGTCCATACACTGAATTATTCTGAGATTTGGAGCCAAATTCTATGAAAAAAGGCACTCAGAAAATTGAGAAATTGATAAATCACTTCAAATTCCTTAACATGATTATATTTCTGGAACCATAAGTCCGAATGAGCTGAAATTTTCGGAGGAGTTCTATTGTGCTGCCAAATTAAATTTCTATATACTTCTAAGGGTAATTCATCTGAAAGAAAATTCTATTTGGCTTTGAAGGAATCCAAGATATCGTCGTCCATTTAGAGAACAGTTCATCCATGGCATATTTCTTTGGTTTTTGGTTCAAATGATTCTTTGGTGCCATATATTCCAATTGGCTATTTTGATTTTCTCAAAAATACAGAAAATCTCAAAAATGTTCAGTTCTGGTTGGTACACCCTGTACTTACCTTTTGTCATAATAATTGATTGACATCTTTCAAAAAAATTCATTCATCCAATTTACATTCAAAATTATCAGTTCCTTTTTTCATAAGCGTAAAATTCCATCAACATGTCGTTCATTTCCAAGTTTTACTATTCAAAATACCTCACGAAAAATTCCTATCCGAAATTCCTGTTCGTTCGAAATTATGCCGAGAAAAATCCAAACAAATTGAAACCGCAACAAGCGGATTTTAATCCGAGATCCAGACGCCCACCACAACCACCAAAACCCAAAATGGATCCAGTAAAAATAATAAACCTAATTGGAACTTTTACAATTGTGTCAATAGTGTTGATATCTTACCTCGTCGTAAAGAAAACTCAGAAAATGAAAAGCGACGAAATTATCATGAGAGAGTTTTTGGGAAAAAATATTGTGCTTGATCCGAATGTAGCGTTGCAGAATCAAAATTCGGGGGAAGACAATAATTTTGATTTGGAAAATTTAGGCAAAGAAGAAACTTCGTATAACATTCCATTTACACAAAGTGCTACTGAAATGGTACAATTAAAACGTCCTTAATAATAATTGCAAATAAAGGAAATTTCTTAATATTTATATATCTTGTTATTTTGAAATCATTGACACCATTTCAATGTTAAGAGGGATATCCTTTGCAATAGAACATTCCTAAAATTTCTAACATAATAATATGTCCTTTTTGTGTCAAATGGAATAATTTAAATAATATTTATCATTTCCAGTCGATAATTATTTACTTTCCTTAGAGGATATTACATACAGAAATTAGATAAAGATAATATGTGGGGTACTTTTATAATCTGCGGATGTATTAATAGGATTATTAGTTGTAATAATTATTCTGTCGATTGCTTGGGTTGTGCTGATCTGGATTTAGTTAAAAACTATCATAATTGTTTCATGGAAAATTTGTAAACCTAGTTGATTTATTGACTTGAACGAAATATTAAACTCTTAAACCCATATTTTGCTTAACGTTTCTGGACTATTTGGTGGATGAATTCTTGTATAGTAGGCCAAATTAGAAAGTGTTGAAAGTATTTTGTGTATATTATAGTCGAACAAAAGTGGCTTCACTATCAGACTGAATCTCAGTTGGAAGCTTAGTAGGCTCTGAGTAATTACAATCAGACTTTGCAGGAGAACGACACAAAGTATTAGCATTTTCACAATCGTGCCTAAAGTCAATGTCACAATCCGGGTTCAGTCTATGATCAATGTGAGAGTCCTTCAGATCAAAACGATTTCTCCTCATTACATTTCCATGAGAATCCAAAACCCTGTAAGATCTTGGACCTTCACCAAAATCCAATATTTTACCTGGCTCCAAATGATTCTTTACATGGTTAAAAACAGAAACATTTCGGTCAGGTTCTAACGGTTTCAATTGAGTTGCAGTCTTATTGAAGTAATTCTTATTCCTGCCTTGCCTCAGCTCGAGCCGTTCTTTTATATTTTCACATAATAAGGACTTCAATAAGTCTGCTGATACTGGCAACTTTGTCTTGCACATTCGACTCATGACTAACTGACAGGGGGAGTAGTTTAAAAACTTAAGAGGTGAATTTCGATATTGAATTAGGGCTTCAAAACTTCCTTGCCTTCTTCCAAAGATTTTTTGAGTAGCTTTTTTGCAATGCCTACAGCTTTTTCCGCTAGATCGTTAGATCTGGTGTAGTTCGGGCTTCTAAGCACCATGTCAATTCCACTCTTTTGAAAGTTCCTTGAAAGTGAAACTCCCAAAAGGGACGTTATCACAAACCAGCTTGTCTGGACATCCAAATCTGGAAAAAAATTGATTTTAATATTTTTATCACTTCATTAGCTGACTTGTTTTTTAATGGAGCCAACTCCAACCAGTTTGAATATGCATCCATAACTACAAGATAAGACCTATCGCCATATGAGAAAATATCTGCGCCTACTCTTTCCCAAGGACGTTCTGGAATCGAATGTGACAAAAGCTCCTGTTTTGAATTTTTCATGGCAAACTTTTCACAAATTTTACATATCTTAATGTAATTTTCAATGTCCTGTGACATAAGTGGCCAATAAAAGATTTGCTTAGCCCGAGCCTTTACCTTTTCAATCCCTAAATGGCCCTCGTGGAGTCTTGTGAGCATCTCTTGTCTAAGATCTTTTGGAACAACTAGCTTAGTGTTTAAAAATAGTAGTTCATCAGATATCGATAAAGCATACTTGAGTTTATAAAAATGACTTGCCAAAGTTGGGAGTAGTGTTTTGCTAGAAGGCCCCTGAGTTTTGACAAAATTAACTACACGAGTCCCCAGATTTAGTTAAAAAAGCACGAGATAGTAGATGAATATTTTCCTGGCTTATATATCACTTTTAGGTCATAATTAAGTAATTTAAGGATCATTCTTTGCAGCCTTGGAGATACAGACTGTAGGCTTTTTCTTAAAATTGACTCTAGTGGTTTGTGGTCATCAGTACAAACCTTAACATTTTTAACACCATACACATAATAATGAAACTTTTGACAGCTGAACAAGATTGCCAAAAGTTTCTTCTCAATCTGAGCATAATTTACTTCACTTTTTGTTAGACTTCTGGAAGCGAAGGCTACTGAGTGACCATTTTGCTATAAACAAGAGCCAATGCCATTTTTTGAAGCGTCAGTTTCAATTTCCATTGGCAAGGAAGGGTCAAAGATTGTCAAGACAGGAGCATTCGTCAGTAAATGCTTTAATTGTCTCAACGATTCATCATGTTCGCAGGCCCACTTCCAATCCACATCATGGCGAATCAAAGTTCTGAAGGGTGCTGACACTCTCGACAAATTGGGGATAAACTTACCCAAAAATTTAGCCATGCCAAGCAATCTTAAGAGATCAGCCTTATTTTGGGGATTCGGCATTTCCAAACTGGCATTAAAATGAGGGTTACTGGCTTTAACATCATCTTTCGAGAAAACCTGTCCCAGAAATTTTACTTCTTTCAATTTAAATTGTATTTTGTCCTGCTTAAACTTAATATTATATTTGACGGCTGGGTCAAGAACACGCTTCAAATTTCTATCATTATCAGCCTCTGTTTCACCCGAAATAATCAGATCGTCAAAATAAATCTCTACTCCATCAATGTCACCAAAAAGCTCAAAATTTTTCTCCTGAAAAACTTCTGGGGCAGAACTCAAACCAAAAGGCAGGCGACAAAATTGAAAGCGACCAAATGGTGTGCCAAACGAGCAGTAATCCGAAAATTGATTATCAATCTTGACTTGGAAATAACCATTTTTCATATCCAATACTGTAAAAATGACTTTGCTAGCAATTTCGTCGGCCATAGGAATTAAAAAGTATTCACGCTGTATATTTTCATTTAAGTATTTCGGGTCGAGACACAACCTCAAATCTCCATTTTTCTTTTCCACGATTACTAGGGGATTTAACCATTGTGTGGGCTTCTCAACTTTTCTAATAATGCTCTGATTCTCAAGGTCTTTTAGTTTCAATTTAACTTTATTGTGAAGAGTTTGAGGTATGCGTCTCACTGCCTGAATATGGGGTCTAGCATTTTCTTTAAGAACAATTTTATGCTCGGTTGGGAACTGACCCAATCTCTCAAACACTTTCGGGTACAAAAATTCAACATCTTTCAAAGTATTAAAATTAACATAATGAACAGAATCAACTCGTTCAACTAACTCTAACTCCAGGTAACCTGATAAACCCAATAAAGGCATTTGATTTTGACTATTAGCTACAACAAACGGTAAATATGTCAACTTGTTATTAATATTACACGATAGTGAGACTTCTCCGATGGGCTTAATTCTAAAATCCAGGGCTGCCAAATGAAATTAAAGTTATTCGAGATTCTTTAATGTCCTTCTTAATGCCATGCTTTTTTAAAATATGTTTAGGAATCACACTTACTTCAGCCCCTGTGTCCAGTTTAAATTCAATAGCTGTACCTTCTACAACTATTTCCTTAGTCTACACGATATGAGCTTTCGACGTCAGCCCATCAACACTCCTCACTAATGACCCAATATAAAAATCATCAGAGTCACTATTACTCTAATCATTATCAACATTTTCACTCAATCCTGACACTTTCACCTCATTCACTTTTTTCCGTTGACCTATTTTCACCATATGCAGGGCATTTGCCTCTAACATGTTTGTACCCACAAAAACTGCATTTGAATTTCTCCTGCTGACCATAAGACACATTACTTTTGTTTGAACCTTTCCTGAGTCTGATGGCACTTACAGAGGCTTCATTTGCTAGAGCCTGAGTTTGGGACTTGCTTGCTTCTACAGCCCTACAATGATCCACTGCTTTTTGCAAGGTTAGTTTCGGCTCTCTCAGAAGCCTTTCTCGTGTTGATTTATCTGATATTGCTAACACAATTCGGTCTCTCACCATATCATCTGGGTCCTTGTATTATGTTGACTTAACTGAAATTCCTAATTCCGTAACGAAACTATCAAAACTCTGACCTTCTTTTTGAACTATTGAGTTGAAAACATATCTCTCAAAAATCAAATTTTTCAACGGGGCACAATGGGCTTCAAATTTGTCTCTTATAGACGTCAATGAGGCTTTTTCAGTCGCAGTCAGTGTGGAGGAATTGTATATGTCCAATCCTTCTTCACCAATTATAAATAAAAATACAGCAACTTTTTTTACCTCGTCCTTTTCGTCCAAACCTGTGACTGTCATAAATAAATCAAACTTCTGGATAAACCTTTTCCAGTTGTCTGCTGCATTGCCCTATAGACTGAGTGGTTCTGGGGGTTTAAATAACGTTTCCATGATTCTCCGGGGTACACACAATTTCCAGGATTGAATTAATCTTTAATTAAACATACCTGACACCATGTATTATTTAAACAATGAATGTGTCTTCAAGACAAGTATTTATTCAAATCAGCATCAGCATCCAAAATCAAAACTGTATTACAAAACTATAACATAACGACTGCCAAGTGACAGGTGACAGTTCATCGGTGGTGCCCCCGGGCCACCGCCCTGTGTTGCATTCCACCGACGTGACTATTTATGATTCACAAACCAAACTTGATAACAAAGCATCACTAGCAACAACATTGGCCGAGTTTGTTTTTGTCATCACATTACTGTCAAAATTTACTCCGAAATTTTGACAGGCATGTGATTTGTAAATTGAAACTATCTTATCCAGTCATGTGCCTGTCAAAATTTCGGAGCAAATCGACGAAAAAGATTACAAAAACGATCTCGGCCATTGAATATTCCAAAATGTGTCACAAAACCATCATTGTATGATGAAAAAGAAATCCGAAAAGTATCGTCCTCAGGTGAATTATTGATAAACATTGAAGTTATCCACGCGCCTGATACAATACACCGAAATCGCTGTTGATTTTTACGATGACATTTACGACTTTTTAATGCCTCCTCTTGACAGTCACGAATCTAATTTAATGAGTCGTAAAACTACATGGCTTCCGAAATTTAATGTCCGCTAGTGAAATATGTGTCCTATATTTTACATTTCGCTTCCCATATTCGTTGTGCACAAGTATCAGAAACAACAGACAATAAATAATTCATATTTTTACAAATTAATTTAATCGAAAAATCATCGCTGTTATGTATCGACTACATATATCGTATATCATAATTACGCACCGAATGCATGTTTGAAATTAATAAATGGCTAATTACCAAACTGGAAAAAAAAATTGCAAAGTTTAACGGCCAATTGCAGTTTTATTTTACGCTTAATGAACTCAACTTTAAAACACGCCAACCTGCAAGAGCTTAAGCAATGATATTAATGCATGTTTTAAATATTAATGTGGTAGTTAAGTGCAACTTTAATTTGGAATTCTACACTTTAATACTTGTCAGTGTTTAGCTTTTCAACACC